ATAATAATAAAAAATAATAATATATAATAGTTGATAGTCAATAATAAAAAAATAAGTGAAGTGCGCATTTGCACTTTAAGAACAATTGTTTATTATACACAAAACTCTTCACGTATACGGAGGAAGTAACATACCTATACTAAAAATATCACTATTAAAAAGTAAAAAGTACTTATAACACATTCATCTTGTCAACAAATTTTTCCTTCACTGTCTTCTCTCTGGAGACAGATGAAATTGCGAACGAGTATTGTTCTTTTTTCGTCCGCTCATATGACGTACGATTTACAAAACAGGTATACGGCTAGATTGCAATTGAAATTTTCTTCTCAATTTGCGTTCGATTCGTGTTACGATATTTCTTTTTTAATTAAAATCGAATGTAACACTGTTTGTGATATGTGTCTAGAAAACATACGCCATTCTTTTTGAAACTTCGCGTCTCATAGCGAATTCGGTTGCGCACTACTATAACATTTAGATGTGGAAACGTAATATAGACATTCTAATTGACGAAATAAAAATGTCAAATGTACATTCTCTATTAAATAATGTACCATCATTATACTACTACTATACTGCGCGTAAGTCTTTTCGTCAATTTGTGTACATTTCTATGTTGCTCTAATGCTTATACATATATATATATATATATATATATATATTTAATAGTCGCATTAGTGCGCATTGACGCATCCAACCAAATTTGCTATTAGATCAATTTTTCTCCTATTCTTTCTCTCTCTTTTTTTGCTTCTCGCATTACTCATCATTCGTACATTTTTGTTAAATTCTAAATTACGTCTTATTACAAGTCGATTAAACCGGCGGGCGATCTGAGAAACGCGAAAAACAGAAAAAAAAAAAATTTTTGCATTTTTATACAATTATATCTTCTAAGGACTGTTGTAAGAAGTGATCTTTATCGACGGCACATAAACGCTTGTTTAAGCATTTATTCGTTAGTATATTATATTATACTTAAAATGCAATATGCGGAAATACGTCGTTTCGCCCGCCTGTTATCTTTATAGTATTATTATTATTATTATTATTATTGCATTGGCTCTTTATCTTTTCTTTTTTCTTCATTCATTCATTGTTAAATTCCTGAACTCTGAGGTAGACAGTTCCGGGTTGACGTTATGTAGTAAAAATGGCAAGAGTGTGATATATCAATTACCATGTTACCGTGTTACCGTTATATATTATACGTTGATATTATTACCATTCTTTAGTCTTTAGTACATTCCTTGAAACAGAAGGATTCGAAAGAATAGCTCATTTGCTGTTAGACTTATGACTACATGATGCACCGCTGTGTGCACGCTCTAATTTTATCTCTATATGCTATGTGCATATAGGATATTTCTAAAATGGCATTACAGCGTGGCTGAAAATGAAAGCCAACTTCAGACATCCGCTAACGCATATATCTGTAAAGTACAGTTGTATTTTAAAAATAAAGAATAAAGAGATGTTAATTATGTTTCCTTATTAATTTTTAATGAATCACAATGACTTCCTGGCAAATATAATATTATTATTTTAGAAATATCCTGTATATGATATTTATCGTTAACAGTCACGCAATTTTGAGGCACTTGTGAAATTATTAATATGAATATATCATTAATTAATTATAAATTATGTTATTATTAGCTAATATTAAATATTATTAATACATTAATAATATCTGACCTGCAAAAGACGGACTATTATAACATTACAGGATTAAGTATTAAACATTATTAATGCCAATAAATTTGTTAAAAAAGTTTTAGCAAACGATTTGGAATAAGCAAAATCAAAAAACTTTTATTTTTTATTATTTATTAAAAAGACTGAATGCCTAAAAATGCGGACCACAACGATAAATACATGAACCTAATATATAAAATAAGATATAAAATATATATACAATTATATTATATGAACAAATTATACTTTTAATTGAACAATTATAGAATAAATTTAATTGGAAGATTAATATAATCGATATCCAGAATAATTCTCTTTAAACAACAACAGTTGAATAAAGATTAAAATAATACAATCTAGTCAAATTATTAGCACTGCTATAATCGGTTCGACAACAACGGAAACAATTAGGTATGCGTACCTGGATGTTATTTTGTACAGTCGTATACCCAGAATTGCATGCTTGCGTGTGTCAAACGACGCGTGGCTCGAAGGGAAATTCGCTCCAAAGGGTCGGATTGCAGCTTCGGTGATTAGCTCGTTTTGCCAGTAATTAATCAGGGATCGATTAATCAGTGCTGTCAATATGCGGAACGATTGAGCTGCGAAAATATCTAATCGGCAAATTTCAATACAGAGAATATGTGAACATGCCAACAGTAATCACTAATAAATAATTGTTATCTCAAAATAGTTGTAACATAAAAAATATAATGTTGATAAATAAAATTAAAATATCGATATACTGTTTCATTCCAGATCAACAGAATGAGTGTTACCAATATTAAAATATTTAAGTTAATGATGCTGATAGCATAAAAGTTCATTCATAATTAAATATAATATAAAAATTTAAAGGAAAATATAAAATTGATATGTTTGTGATTATACAGAATGTTTGAGAAGTAATGAAAAATTTTGTTGCATAGGGGTAGAATGGATTATAAACTGAGAGAGAAGAAAAGTTCTTCTACCATTTTACAATTTTCGCAATAGTTAACGAGATATTAATTTAATTAATTCTCTCTCTCATAGAATAAAATTCTCTCTCTCTCTCTCTCTCTCGCCCGGCCCACCGTCAAATGCAAGCGCGCGGCTGAATAATGGACATTGTCTAGCGACGATCATTGCCGCTTGTTGTAAACAATAGTCCAGTCAAATTATGACAAAAACATGCTCCAGCGGGAAAAAATTGCATATAGGAATTTTTTTCCGGTAAAATCATAATTTGATTGGACTACAACGCGTGTCTAGCGACGGCGAACGCCTCGCTGGGTGGTCATATTCAATATTCGCGTTTACATTTGGCGGTGGGCCGGGCGAATTTGGATAGCTTTATCAATTCATATCTCGTTAACTAAAATTGTGAAAATTGTAAAATGGTAGAGGACCTTTCTCTCAGTTTAGTCCATTCTACCCCTATGCGACAAAATTTTTACTTATCAAACACCCTGTATAATTATAAAAAACTTTAACTTTTTGAATTAATAAATAAAAATTGATTACTAAGATTTTTTTCAAAATTAATGCAAAAGTAGGAGCGAAATTCAATTCGAGCAACGCACAGGTCATATAAGTAATGTTTAAATAACTTTAATTCTTAAATAAACAAATGATATACTGATTTAAGAATGTGCCTTATCAACAATTGGAATGCAGCTTAAAAAAAATGTACAATACAATCTGTTATAGATAGAAACTTTAGAGAGATTCTTATCAATCGAATTATACCGAAAAAACAAGGAATTAAATTTAATAAAAATTTTTAATATTAAATTTTATACAAATTTGAATAAAAATTTTTTTTGGACATGTAAAAGAAAAAAGAAAATTTATACATGTACAAAATTTTACTATAAACTACAAATATACTATTTTACTAAATTTAACATTTAATTAAATCGAATAAAAAATATAGTTTTTAAAAAAGTAGGAGTTAATTTCCGTTTGTCAATATAAGTTTTTATGTCAATTATGTTAAATGTCTATTTTTGATAAAAGAATTTTTATGTTTAGTTATATATTTTTTTTTTATCAAAGAACAGTAAGGACTTTATTATCCTCTCTCTGATATTGATTTATATCAATTTGATTTTTTTACATTTTTACAAATAATAATAGTATTAACAATTATAATATAGATGATTATAATGTAATTATAATCATTAATATTATTTCAAAAAATATTATGTTTCTATCTATAACAGATTGCATGCATTTTGAAATGTGTGCTATGTATGTATATACATGCATACGTATACATATATACACACACACATCACATTTTACAAAAAAAAAAAACAAAAATATGAATAATGATATAAATCTGTACACAATGTAACTAATGAAAGTAAATTTTAATGAATATAGTAGAACTTATGCTGATAAAGTACAAAATAAAATATGGTTGTAAATGCATAATTATTAATAGTAACTTTAATACCAAAAGTATAAAAAAGTATAAAATTGCCAAACAAGTACGTTTATTGGCCTTTCTCTTACGATTGTAATATCAAACAACCTTTTTTTATTTCATACTATTATCAATAATTATATAATATAATAATATACACTTATAATTATTTTCAATTTACTTTGTACAATTTATATATCAATATCGCGTCGATATTTTAATATTTTAATCACTCATAACATTTCCAATTCTTTCGGGATCGTCATCAGAAACATCAGATTATTGAGTTAAAATTGACTGAATAAAGCAATTGATGTGACAAAAAACAATAAAAAAAAAAAATTTCACACCATTTTATCGAAATCGATTCTAATTATCGCAATGATTCTTGCTCTGTTATTAACATAAAAATGTCGCGCAACGCCTCGTTTTTTATATCCAATAATCAGAAACATCGGTAATATCAAAGAGACGGTTCAATCTTTCTGTCAAATAATTTTAACTTGAAGAACATTGAGCTTCTTCAACTCGACATATTAAGTATTTACGTCGCTATGTATCGTTCGGAAAATAGGAAAGAGTTTTGTGTGTGTGTTCTCGCGGGACACATATATGGTATACGAGAAAAAGGTATTCCTGATAAATCATCGAATCTTATTTTACTGAGATTATGCTAGTTTATCATAACTTACAATAAGCGCAAAATAAATCGTTTATTAATTTAGTATCGAGTCGAATCGAATGAGAATTGCAAAATTGTCGTGGATAAAAAGACGATGTCCGTTGATCGGCAAGAAATCTTACCTCGCGTTTTGTTATTAGGACGATCTGTTGAGGCTGTGCGTCTGACAATCCAATCGAACGTAGACATTCCAAGGACATGTCTTTACATCTTCATGCAGTTGATATCGCAATTCAGCTGAACGTTGTTGTTGTTGTGGTTGATGTTGTTGTTGTTGTTGTTGTTGGGCCGTTGAGCTCGTAAATGATTATTGATTCGCTGGGTGCCTTGCCGTTGGTTTGCCCGCGATTTTTTGTTATGTGTTTCTTTGTGTTTCCTCATGTGGTCATGCCTGATGAATCCCTTGCCGCAAGTATCACATTGAAATGGCCTTGAACCAGTATGGATACAAATGTGCCGTTTAAGATCAGTTTTATGAGCGAATACCTTTGGGCAATCGTCGCATTGGTGTTTTCTGGCCATCGCGTGCATTTCTAAATGCTTTTTGTTTCTCTCTTCGTTCGAAAATCGTTTGCCGCACTGATTGCATTTAAACGGTCTAGCGCCCGAGTGAAAGCTCTTGTTGTGCTGTGTCAAGTAGCAGGGCTTGTTGAAATTCTTATTGCAATCAAGACACTTGTAAACACCGTCTTTCGAGATAAAATTAGCACTGATGGTGATGTCATCTTGCTTATTCGTATTACTTTTGCTTTTACGTCCTCTTTTTGCTGGTTGCAAGCCGACATTTGGATCCAAATCCTCCTTTGCTGGTGCTACCCGTTTTACATGATTGTTATTTTGTACATCAATTCGTCGATCGTATTCATAGCACAACGGAACGTCCATATTCTGATTTTGCATCATATTGTTGACTGCATTTGTTGGCAATGTCAAGTCTATACTGTTCAACGACTTGTAACGCGTTGGCGAATATGGGTCATAGGTCGATGTTGAAGCTTCAAAGGACTCTTGAGGAGCGATCTCCTCTACACTTAGCCCCCCCACGTTAACGGTCTGTATCTGGCTTTGATCTACGATAAATTCGAATTCCGAGAAATTCGGCATGATGGTATTAAAACCGGGCAACAAGTGATGTTGCTGCTTGTTTTGGTCGTTACCAATAGTAACTAGCTGCATGGTGATAGGAGCTTGGGTAGATTCCAGTGGGACCGCCGGGATGTTGGTAGTAATTGTAACGTGGGGGGGCAAGGCGTTTGGGTACGGCTGAGGAGGCATCGTAGTACCCCCCATCACTGGGGACGAAGTCATTATTGGATGCCCCGATCCGGGCGGCGAGTTCATGTGATGAACCGGGTGAGATGATGAATCCATTGGTGAAGGGCAATTCATGTGCGATGCCGCCGGTGGGGGCATGGTGGGCGAAGTCGTGGAAAGATGTACTGGCTGGCCCGACGAACCCGTTGGCAGGTGAAGCTGCTGCTGCTGCTGGAGGCCCAGTTGGTGAGGAGCAGTACCCATTTGTTGCTGATGGTGCCCCGCCAGTGGCGATGGTAGTGGGGAATTGATTATTCCTAGAGGGACCAGTTGCGGCGGCGGCGGCGGCGGCGGCTGCTGCTGCTGCACCAGGACCGCTAAAGATTCGTTGCTGTTGTTGTTGCTGCTGGAATTGTTGTTGCAGAGCGTGGTGGGCGTGTGAAGCAGGCCCCCCGTCGCCTCGCCCGAGGGACCTGCCATCAAGTTTGGGGGACTCCGCGAAGAGTCCGGTGGAGAACGAGCAGGAGCGCAACCGCCCCTACCGCTCGTCGAATGACTATTCTCTCTATTGGGATGATGATGACTGGTGACCGGTAGAGTTGCTGGATCAGGTTCCTTTCCATTTTTGACAGCGTTCTTGTGTAAAGTAGTGTTATAATGTCTCTTCAGATGTCCTGAACTTGTAAACCACTTGTTGCATGCAGTGCAATTGTACGTCTTTGGACGACGTGGCTCGTTGCTTTTCCAAGATTGATTCGCCAACGGCGGCGCTTTCGGTGCTTGCTGCACGAATCCAGCCGGTATCTGATGGCTCGGTATCGATTGCGTATTCGTGAGTATCGGCGAACCTTGATGCCCATGCTCCACAGGCATGTGCTGTCCGCGCATATATTGATCTTGATCAGCGATAGGTGGAACATTGTTTATGGGACCCATTGATGGGTGTCCAGCATAATCATGAGGCATTGGTTGCCAGTTTAACATAGAACTTACCGAAAGCGAATCTATTCTCTGCGATTGCTGTTGTTGCATTACCTGTTGATGATGCATCTGCATCTGAAGTCCTTGTTGTTGTTGTTGTTGTTGCTGCTGCTGCTGTTGCTGTTGCTGCAATCGCATTATTTCCTCTTCGTATCGGTGTACCTTATGAGAGTCCAAGTCAAGGATCTCAGCTTGCTCCTCAGGCTGTTCCTGCTTCATCTCGGACTTGATCGTCTGTCCTCCGTTATAATCGTAAGCAGATTGTTGCGGTTGATTCGAGAGAGGTGGCGACGAGTGCATCTGCTGGCCCTGCTGCTGAGGACTATTGCCTAGTTGCTGATATTGTGGCGCGGATGGATACGCGGTAGGCGATTCCAAATGATTCGTTCTCATATGCTCACCTAATTGATTCGCGTCCTCGTACACGGCACCGCACTTGTCGCAATGAAAAGGCGGGCTTTGAGGGCTGGCAGAGTTAGAAGTCGTGCGATCTGAGGAATATAATTGCTGATGTTGATATGGATGATAGCGATAACTACTGCTGTCGCGACTGCCGTTATTCTGGCCATCTTCCTGTGATGGTGAAAAGTGATGAGGCAAGATGTAACTCTGATCGTTCTGCATGAAGTAGCCGCCCTCGCTATACATCGGAGCTCGAAAATGATCGTACGGCGAACATATAAGTACAGCAGACTGTTGCTGAGATTGTTGCGATTGTTGCTGAGATTGTTGTTGTTGCTGCGCTTGTTGCGAGGATGTTGAATCTTGAGAAGGCGACATCGATGATGGTTCACTTGTGTCCGCCGGCGCGTTGTCGCGACTGACGTTCACGTGACTATTATGATTACCAGTCTTGCTGGTATGGTTATTATTGCTCTCTTCCTGCTGTGTCTTATTGGCCCACTGATTTAACAAATTTTCTTGATGATAATGCAAATGCACCTCCAGGCTCTTCTCGCTCTCGAAGTTTAGACCGCAATCCTTGCAGTGATGCTCCACATTCGTACTACCACCTACGTACTGTTGCTGCTGCTGCTGCTGCTGCTGCTGCGTCTCGACGGCACTCGTCATCTCACTCATATTGTCCTCTCCCTTCGTCTCGACCGTCAAGTCACTCACTTCAATCGTCGTTTACTCGTGATATACACGATCAAATAGTAGTTTATACACAACACAAAGAGACTAAAACTTGACGAAATATACATGAGTACCTCCTGACAAGCGCCTATATGCGCGCGCGCAAGTAAGGCAATCTTCCTTTCCCTTTCTTTCTGTTTTCAATTGTTTCACCTTGCCACCTCCTGAATTGCGTTCCGTGACGCGATAAAATCACTTGAAATATCATACGGGTACGACGACGAAGACGACGACGATGATAATGCAAAGCGGCACCGTGAGTGTCACATGTATGTATTCAGTGTCAGTAGAAGAGCGAAATAACACACGCTTTATGATTTAACTGATAGCTAAGCCGACAGCGATAGGGTGGAGATGGATGGAGGAGAGGATTAAACAAAAAAAGGTGGCGGAAGGAGAAAACAAAAAGAAACCGGGGGTAAAGCGTGTTCTACATTTATCATATGACCGCGCTGGTTCTAAACGCGAACTTCCATCTGAATGTCGATCGAGAAATCGTAATCACTGCATGCGGCATTGTCGGTCTCGGCTAGACAACGTGTCGACTACAATGTCGACGACAGACGGGGTACCACTCTCGCTAACTCTCACTTGGATGTCGGGGACGCGGCTCTCGCGTCCTATAACGAGATTCGAATGATGCCGGTTACCTCGGTACCCGAACGAACAAAACAAAATAAAAGCAAAAGCGCGTATCGCTCATGATTTACATATCGAGTAGCACCGCCAGTTGTTTTTGTATCTTTATTCTTCTATTCGGAGCTAGGTCACTTTCGTTTGATTAGACGGTGGTCACACGGTTCTTAGAGAAGAATTTAAAATTCTAAAGAAAAACAAAAAGTGCTTCGAACTTCCTTCGATGATCTTTACTTAGAAAACTATCACGAGCGCGGTTCACTTTACACTTTGTTTATTATAATTTACAATATCTACCTATACTCCTGTAGTAGTAGCTCACTCGGAGTCTCTGTTCACAATTGATCGTGGGCGTCTTAAATCTTATGATCACCTGACGTCACGTATTCCGGTACTGCGAGAGAACGATCGAACTGAAGCCGCGAACACAATGAGACGCAAGCACCTCAACCTTGCATCACCCCTCCGTTCAGTCGACCCCCTCCCCCACTTCCTTATATCTCTCTTTTTCTTTCCTTTCTTCCCCTCTTTCTCTCACTCTTCTCGGATTTACACTCGCTCACTATATACTATCATAGAACCGTGTCGTACGAAAGCCGGCAGTACTCTGGTCTGTTGGTTGGAATTCTGTTTCGAGAACCTCGCGCGCCAAGGCACCATTCTCCTCCCCTCATCCCTCCCTCGCCGTGTTCCGCCCCCCCACACTGCTTCCTTCGCCAATACTCGCCACCCCCTCTTCGTCGTCACTTACGGACTCTTCGAATTCTACCTTTCTCTCTCAAACTTCCACACGTTTCCCCTCGTTCTCTATAATCGTCTCTCTTCCACTCGCTCTACTCGTTCTCTTGAACGTCTTTCTCCTTTCTCCAACACATCAGCGAATCGTGTCTTTCTTCGTCTAACGTTAAAACTTTCTCTTTCTCTCACGAAGGCTCCATCGTTCCGTCACGCTCCCTTCATCGGAAGAACTCTCGTCCTTCTTACTCTCTCTCTCTCTCTCTCTCTCTCCTTCTCCCTCTCGCTTAAACTTCTCCCTCCTGTCTCGTCTTCCAAATACTTGGCCGAAACACGAGTCTCTGTCTCTCTTCTGTCTTCTTCTCTTTTGCTTGCTTACTCTTGTCCCTCCTCGGCGGTGTACCAACCCCACTACCTTCGACTATAGTCGATCTTCTCCGATTCTCGCCTGAAGAGGGATAGGCACGCACGACAAAACGGTGGAAAGCGACAGCCAACCAAATTTGAGAGCTCCTTACCCCTCCTGGCTTTCGTCCTCCCTCTTCCAACAGTGTTTGGCTGTTCTCTTCCTCTGACTTTACTCGTTTTCCTCGCTCACTCTCGACAAGCGACGAATCCTACAGGAGATGCTGCGCACGTTTTGTCTCTCTCCCTTAGTTCCATCTTCGTCAGACTTGAATGTGTCCTCTTTCAATTACGACGCTCGCTGCCACGTCCTTCCTCCCTCTTCTACAGCGACGCGTCTTTGGAGAGAGAACACGACGGATAGACGTGCGCATGGCACGAGAATCCTGCTCGTCTGCACGCCCGCGTACCGGCCGGTGTTTCGTTCTTATTCACTAACTTTATACAGCAAGATTCTTCGAGATTCCCGATATGGATCTTCCAAATCAGACACATCTTGTGCTGTAAACATCTAACATTTTGTCTATTAAAAATTTTAATTGACTTTCGTAATTTTACTTTGAGAATACTTCCATGTAAATAAAGGAATCCTGCGAAGAAAAATCTTCGTAAATGTTTTAACGTGTTTTAGAGATCATCGCGCAGCCAGTCCATGACTTCACGCTCCTTTGCCAAAAAATCCCTTCGAACGACTCGAAGATTACACCTAATTCCACTGAGTGATAAGCGTAACACTCGACAGTTTACCTAACTTTTTATTAATCCCCAAGCCCCACGAGCCCCTCTGCGTTGCCTGCGTAAAAAGTGCGAGAATACTATCCAACGATAACAAAACTCTTTCTCGTCCTTTTCTATCACACCTATTATAAATCTAGCTCTCTCGCAAAGCCATTCAGTTGAATAAAAAGAGAACGTGAGTAACCTTGCATTTTTTGGTGATATCTTTTTTTCACGCGCGAACACAGCTCTCCTCGACCTGTGCACTTTGCGTATGCGGAATGCGGAATGCGACCCGGTCTTCTATCCCGACCTCTTACCCACCGTCTCTGCCCGATACAACCATATCCACCATCACGCGCGTTTAACCCTTTACTTCAACTATGAATATGTTTATTGCACGATAACCTGATGCAAGGGGAGAAAACCTTACCTCACATGTGTGTGGGTGATGTAGAGCACGTGTCAAAACGAATGAGTGTCACCTGACTGGTTATACCTTTAAATGATTGGAAGTAAGAATCAGGTAGCGTAGCGCGATTAACCTTTCGGTTTTAAAAGTATACCTTATACCTACGCTCAGCTGGGTTCATTCTACAATTTCGCAATGAACAGCTGATTGAGGTTTTCCGCTATTTTTCTAATTGTATGTATGTTACATTAATTTGTAAAGGAGTAATTAATTTGAAATATAAAATTTAATTGCATCCCCATAGTTATACGTATTGCATATTATAATTATAATACTTTTATTTATTATTAATTTATTTATTAATAATTTGTAAAAAGAAACTTAATGTTCCGCAATTAAAATATTGTAAAAAGTTTTTAAATATTTCGCTATATTTGTCAACCATCTTTATTAAGAAACGATTAATATTAAATAAATTAAAGGTCTCACAAATAGTCAAGACAAAAGCACGAAAATTCTATCACTCTAAGTAAATATTAGATACTTTCTTTAATAGCTGTAAGTTTTAATTAAGAAATCCTTATTTTTCAAATCATCGCTCGTAATTTATCTTTTTTTTTTTTTAATTTTACGATTTTTATCCACTAACGCGTTAAGATTCGTCGAAAAGGTCATCGGCCAGTAAGAGGGAGATGGTAGATTGAATCAACCTAAGCAGCAGCCACCCTTCTACGAATTCCGTTTTAGCTATTCCCCGCCTGCGCCACCCTCCAGCCTCCACTCGGCATTTTCGAAGTGGACGCTGAGCTGACCGAACCACTATCAGCTAGATATTCGCTGGCGTGGCGTTTGCGCCCCATTTTATTAAGGAAGTCTCACCCTAGCCCCCGAACCTCTGCAGTCCTTCGTGTCACGAAGTCCTACGACGCGGGACTTCTCGTAACACGTGCGACAACGTACACCTTCGTCCTTCCGCACGTAGCCTCTTTCTTTTCTCCTTTTCTGTTTTCTCTTAGCGTCGTATAATGAAATTGTTTTCTCATTTCTAAGTATTTTTCTTGCTCATATGAAAGTATAGTGGCTTTGCTCGCAAATCTAGAAACACGTGATATAACAATGAAGATGAAACATATAAACAGCTTTATTTAAATGAAAAAGTCGAGAATTTGAGATGCTTTTACGCTGTCGGAGATTTATTCATCTCTAATTTATTTTGTAGAATTTTTCGAGTTTTTTTATTAAAATATTCTAGATAAAAATTAAAAAATCGTAATACAAAATTCTTTTAGAAAGAGCTAATAGATAGTCTCAAAAGTTATAATTTCTAAATTCTAAAGAGGAAATTTATACATAATGGTACATACTATAATTATTCTTAGCATGTGAAAATATTATACTAATTTTGTTTCTTATATTTTTTGCAAAGAAGAAAATTTATAATGTGGTAAACGAATTATTGGTTTCCATTGCATTTATAACATCATTGTCTTTCAACATAAATTTTATTACGATTAAACATGATCTTCGCTAGTTACAAAAATAATACGAAAAGAATAAAACGGTGGAAAAAATTTTCTTTACAATTTTTTCAACGCATGGCCAAAGCTTTCGTGAGCCGCATTTCCGTGGCTCAATCTCGCGAAAGAACATGGAGGCCCGTCTGGTCGCGAACCGTCAGAGATCGTGGAGAGTAATAAAAAATATTCCGCGAGCTCGGCAAAGGGGGATGAGGGTCGACCACCGGGGGCATCATTAAAGGAAATTATAACAAAGTGGTTCTCCTCCGCGACGTCGGGGGCTGTCATTTGGCGGTGCCTGGCCCGAGAGGACCACGGGATGAGAAGAACGCGGGTGGCGTTGAAGAAGAACGAATAGAAAGGCTGAGTCAGTTCGCGCGGAAAACGAATTGAAATTTTAATCGTCCACCCTACCCCCCACCGCGTTAAATGCGTCCTCCACCTTACCGGCTCTAACCCAGCCTCCCTTTCCTGCGACGCGACGCGACGCGACGCGACCCTCGCTAACCTCTAGCCTCCTT